TGACAGGCTTCCTCACCAGTCAGGAGTGACTGGTGAGGAAGCCTGTCAGTCATCCAATCGGCCAATCAGCGGGAGAAGAGGCCAGAATGGAGCAGATGACTGAGGAATTGGAGGCGGAGTTTACTTTCGGCCGTTCGCCCGTGGAGGAGGAGTTTGTGGCCATTTTGTTTAATTAAAGACGCTGTGGAGGTCCTGTGTGCGTCGGTTTTGGGTCCTTGAAGATGGCGGACGCGGCACATGTACTCGTTTTTTGTATCGGAGTATTTGCGCAAGTACTCATGCAAATACTCGGTATCGCCGCCGATACCGATGCTTGTATCGGTATCGGAGCTTCCCTAGTTTCCCAAAGTATAACTAAAACCGAGAAAAAATGTATTTATTGTAGAGTACCAGTCCTTATATAAGACTGCATTAGTTGTTTTTTTTCAGGCTAAGTACAATGGGGGGAATTTATCAAAACTGGAGCAGCCAAAATCTGGAGCAGCTGTGCATGGCAACCAATCAGCTTCTCTTTTCAGTTTGTACAGTTAAGATTTGAAAATGAAAGAGAGAGCGCTGATGGGTTGCCATGCACAGCTACTCCAGATTTTGTCTGCTCCAGTTCCCATAAAATCCCTTCTAGGATTTTTAAAAAGTAACACTTGTAGTGGGGCTACCCCAACACTGCAAAGGTTAAGTGATCATTTTGTCTAGGGGGTGAAAATAAAGAAGAAATACCCAATTCTCAGTCCCGCCTGGCTGTCAGGCCAGTTGCCACAGCCCATTCTCTCCTGGGCTCCAGCAGTCTAAGGACCCAAAATGTCATCACGTCTAATGCAGGTCAATTAGACATGAGGATGTTAGAGGAAATAATGCAGCTGGAGCAGAGGGGGAAAGAGGTGAGAGGTCACTGCGGCAGGACTGTGGATTGAGTAAGTATTTGTTCTTTATTTTTGTCCCTAGACCAAAATAGGCACTTTACCCTTGCAGTATGAGGGTAGCCCCACTGCAAGGGTTCATTTGTTTAAGTCCTGCAGTTCTTCTTTCAATTTAAACTGAACTTTTTATCTCTAAATGAAGTATGCTCTATTAATAACCACCACCCTCCCATGCTAAATCGCTAGCTCAGTATGTGTTAAAGAAAAATAGCTGTACATATTAAAGGCTTTTTACTGTAACATTCAGCTTCCAGTCTTTCAGCCTAGGCATCAGTGATGTCACACAGCCCTCATGCAGCTTCTTGAGAAACCTGAGCCACTAGATCAAGGAGACTTTGGAACAGTGGAACAGAATCCAAATCTTGCAAGAATGTGCTCCTGGACATATTCTTGTGAAAGGGATATTGCTGTCTTAAATAAAAAAAAGACTTCCAACAACCATAAAGGTAGTGGAGAGCCTTTTTTTTTAGGAAGCCCAGCATGGTTTGCAAAAAGTGTTTTGGACGTACCTTGCAATTCATGTTTAATTGTAAATATTTTTGCAAATAATAAGTATTATATAATTCTAATATTGAATTTGAGGGCTTTTTAAATTGTTAGATTTTTTTGAAATGCTAGTTTTTTTAGCAAGAGAAATTATGCATGTCTCTTCTGCTAAAAACAAAACCTTTTTCCCTCTCTCCTCGCATTTTTAATAGTGTACTACCTGTGGCCCATGCATAATGCAGTGTACTTATCAGCCAATCCAAGACATCTGTAAGTTATAAGGAATGCAGCTGGCAGAGAAGATAGCGGGGGACAGAGCGGAAAGGGACAGCTTTGATCTGTTATCTCTGGAGTTGCAAACTGGCAAGGGAATACAGGTTCACTTTAACCTAAAACTTTAAAAATATTATTTAAAATTCAATTTGCCAAAACCATTATAGTTTCTCCTTAAATTACATCTAATTGTATACAATTTGAATTAATATTCTATTAAGTTAGGTAACCATAGAAATTACTGTAGGTGTTACTTATCATAGCCAAAGCTCACATGCAGCACTGTCATTGCCTGCCTCCTGGACCAGTTTGAAAACAGGTACTTCACTGTGGTGGATGCAAGAACATTTTAACCTTAATTAGCTCATTTATTCACTAAGGCAACTGCCACTTGCTAGTGTGCTTATCTTGTGGTCAAGCTGTCTTCAAATTAACTTTCAATTGGGTTGTTATCTGGTTTATCTGAAGACATATAATATTGTTTTTTACAGGAAGGTGCTGAAGGAAATACCTGTTGGTGAGCTGAATCCAAATGAAACAGTCCAAGCTAACCTGGAAGCACAACTACTCTCAAAACTAGACCACCCAGCCATTGTCAAGTTTCATTCGAGCTTTGTAGAGAACGCAAGTTTCTGCATCATCACTGAGTATTGTGAGGTGAGGAAACGTAATACAGTTCCAAGAGCGAACTTCTTATGTAATCCATAAAGTATCATGAGATATAAGATTATTATTCACTAATTAATTCTGAGAGTTTCAGCACTATAGGTATTTTGTATTGTAAATATATACTGTATATTTGTCATGTGAACCTATCAGGACGAATGAATGGGAATTGCCATTGCTGGCTTGTTTTGAAGGTGTATACTTGCTTCGGTACTTGGTGAGTCACTAATCCCGTTGGCAGATATGCAAATACTTGTTCCAAAAGCAAAGGTAATCGCTTGACGTACCTACTAAATTGGTGAACAACACATATAGAAGCGCACTGCTGATGTGAGGTCACACTGCTGGGATGTGTCAAAAGAATTCGAGGGGTGGATATGCTTGCAAATGATTATTGGTCTCTAAGTTGAAAAAATGTGTGAAAATAGAATGGTCGGTGTGCCAGCTCCTTATAACAGGGAGAGGAGCCCTGTGGATCGATACATAGCAATACACAATTAGTTTGTAGGAGCGCTACTACCCTGGGAATGCTAGTGTCTAATTATACGTAAAAGGCACAGTTAGAAGGTCCCCTGGCATCTGGGTGGCAGTTCACTCGGATGAAACTTGGCTCGATGGATGATTAGCTCCAGTGGTGGATGTTGGCAGGTCTGGACGGAGTGTGTATTGGTGGAGCAGCCAGCATACTCGGCTGGCCAGGCCGGGCCGCGGCGGCTGGGAGAGTGGGAGAGAGAGGAGCCGCAAACGGCTATGAGATGCCAGGCGCCGTGTATTCACAGATTCTGTCGGGCTGCTGTCACAGGAATATCCGAAGTCTCGTGCTAAGGACCGAAAGTGGTGGAGAGCTGTACGTAGGATGAAGGCTCTCAGTAGATAGAAACGCGTAGCCGTCTATCTACTGAGAGCCTTCATCCTATGTACAGCTCTCCACCAATTTCGGTCCTTAGCTAAAAAGTCAATAGTCCTTTACATTTTAATACCTACCATTAAAATCTACTTCACTGCCCCTCTGGCTTTTAACTTGATTTAAAGCTGAGCTATAGCTACATCAGTAAGATGCACAAGAACTAAACCTAAACTACCAATCCCCCTCATCGCCATGTAATGGAGAGAAATAAAAGCAAACATGTTTGATTTCCAACCTGGGTGGTAACCATGTCCCCCCTCCATAGTGGGCATAGTGGAGTAGTAAGTGTAGCCACCCAGGGTCAGGAATTATGTTATCTGAAGCATCACTAGGTGGAAATAAAAGGAACAAATATCCTTAAAAAAGAAAACAAATTCAACCATCTCATCTAAGCACTGGTAAGCTGAAATATATTAAGTGTTTGTTTTGGGGTTTGGATACACTTTAAGTTAGACGTCATCCTGCTGACTGCTAATTGAGTAAACAAGTTAAAATTTGGTCTAATCTTGCTTATATCATGTAGAAATGGCATGGGTGTGTATTGAATAAAGACAGGAAAAGCATATTATAGCATCATATCAATACTTTTCAAAAACTATATTTTGACTAATCAGTTGGAGTATCCAGGAATTTAAAATATACTGTATAGCAGGGCTCAAAATTTCAAGTCCTGAGCTACTAGCCAGGCCTTAAGAGTTACTCGCCACCAGTCGCCCCACCTGACCCCTACCGTGCCCCGCCCTTAACTCCGCCAGGTCAGTGGTGTGACACAGAGAACAGAGATCAGTAACAATGCTCCGCTAATGGGGCCTGAAAGCGAGCTGCCGGGTGTACGAGGAGGCGTGGCCAGGGCCGAGGGAGAAGCGGCCCGGCCGTCGGAGGCTGCGGTGCCGCTCCAAGAAGCGGGTGGAGGAAACAGACAGCGATCGGCGCTGCCGAAGCGGCGGAAGTCCCCCCCCCTGGATTTCCACTCGCCCCCACGCAATTTTCACTCGCCAATTGCGAGGGGGCGAGTGGAAATTTTGAGCCCTGCTGTATAGCATGGGCTATGGCAGACCAGAATCACTTGTACCCTACCCTGGCTACGTAGCATCAACCATGCAATTTGAGAGCTCAAAATCATAATTGTGAAGCTTTGATGGATGCTGAGAAATGTTATTTACCTTACCTTCCTGTCACATTTAAAATAACAAGACACTGCCCCATATTGATTCTAAACCTCAATTTCATCAAAATAGTCAGATTACCATCTTTCACACTGCTCCAGTGTGGCTATGGGACTTCCCTAAGAAGACAGCTAAGTTGAATTTCACACCCCTAATTTTGTAATAAAATGTTAAAATGATTTTCTACTCATTAAAATTCCATGTATATATTTTCTTTTCAGTGTTGACTTTTCATCTACTGCTTGCCCCAGGTCCACCAAAGTGCTCTCTTGTGTACCATGTATTTTACATATTTTGATGACATAGACATGTGTAAATAAATGTCCCAATGCACAGCTGGATATATTAGCCCAACTCTCTTAGCCAACGGCTTACTCTCTAGTGCTCTAAATTATTAATTTCAAGGCATTTATCCTGGCTCTGCATATCATACCCTCATCTGCTACCCAATTTTAAAGTATCTGTAATAAAAAATGCTTGTACACAGTATTACTAATAAAGGCCTCCTTGCAATATGTTGCTTCTAGATGGTGTGCATTTTTTACATTTTAGATGAGTCTTGGCCCCACAGAGAATAATTACTCCATAAAACACAGTCTTGGTCACTGTATAGAATTTATCATGCAAATCCTACAATGTGGCATATGCAGTACAAGTGGAATGAAGTGGGTGGGAATTTGGGAATAATAAACTGACCTTCTCAGCCTTTGTGGTGTTTGTTTATTGTATTTAGATCGATGTTCTCTGTAAAAAAAAAATGCCAAAGAGAGAAATATGCTTATTTTCATCTTTTCTTATAAAAAAAAAGTATGGGTGGTTTGTATCAGGAGATCTACCTGTCTCTATATTTATATTAATGAGGCTCTTCAGGAAAGCTACACCTGTGTACAAGAATGACAGATCATAAATCATGAGAATAAAGCAAGTATGAGGAATTTCTTAGCCTAAGTAATGTTCTTTTCGAGGGACGTTCCATATAATATGCAGTATACCTGAGTAGTCTTTACTTATGTACCTCTACAACTGGCCTCATTGCATTTATATAGAGAGATTGACATCTCAGATTAATGCCATCTCTCTAGACCTCTGCCATTGACTACATGGTCAAGATGTTCTTTGACAAGGTTTTCTCTCAAGGTAAACACAGGACAGGTTTCTTATATTAAAGGGAATATACTGTGTATAGTGTTTATGTACATTTGTACTTTATTACATCCATAATATATAA